TGTACTGCAACATGTTGGGATCTCTGAGCATCTCTTGAAGCAGCATACCCTCCGTCAGAAACTTGACTTTGGTGTGCTTTCCAGCCGCAGTGTCGAAACGAACGCTGTATCCAACCTTGGCAGTAGGGCCTTTGTCTCCAAGTAAGCTACCCATCTCATCCGCGACGCGTCGTGCCAGGGAGATCGCCGCCACTCTTCGAGGTTGCGTGATCGCTATACACCCGGTACACCAGGACTCATTGGCCAAAAATTGCGGCACTTGTGTCGATTTTCCGGAACCAGTCTCTCCGGTCAGCACGAGGACGTTGTTTCTTTGCAGAGCTGCTCTGATGATGTCCGCTTGAGGCCATATTGGAAGCGACTTGCGGACAAGCCGCAACTCATCACGCTTCTGAATGACATGCGACGGCACTCTTAAGTCTTGTTGAGAGGTACGAGGTCTGTCGGCCTGTTTGTTCTTTGGTCGAGCTTGTTGTCCGGGGTTTGGTTGAGGGTTGATAGGTTGAGGTGCATCTAATTTCGTGCGCTTGTGCGCCTCTGCTTGCCGCGCAACTGGAGTTTCGACAACGCTTTCCGTTCCTTTGGGTTCGGCGACGGGCTTAGGGTGCTCCGCAGTAGAACTGGGGGTGTCATCGTCGGAATGGTCGAACTTGATCAACACGCCGGCTCCCTTCTTGCCACTCCAGCCATCTTTCGCTGGCTGAACTCTCTTTCTCTTCTTGCCTTTCTTCAATTCCACGGGGAGGTCCTTCGCGCCGTCAACTTTTGGTTCGCTGCTCTTTCCGTTGGACATCTTCGTTGTTGCGATTGGAACCCGCGTTTCACGTTGCCAAAACTTTTCCGCTCTTCCCAAGATCGTTATCGATAAGCTTACTAGCGTGATACGCGCGTGCACGTGCCGGTGGCCCATAGCCCCACCTGGGCACCTGGGCACCTGGGCACATTCTCGGTCGCTCGTTGATCACTCATCGCATTGCTGGCGATGCGTAGCAGGACGTGATTGTATCTTCTGGTGTTCGGTGGTATTTATCCCGACGCTATGCATTCAATGGTTGACCCCGCCGCTGGGGACGATCAACCGGGAACTTAATCAAAGTAGGGCGGGAGAGGATGCCGTCATAAGCTATATAAAGACGAGCGGGTAGAAGCGTTGCTAACGAATCACGAAGCCATTATGTTTCCAATGCGACTGGGGAAGTGGGCCCAAGTTCTATATTTACTCTCTCTCACATCGCCTGTCGTGGAGAGCAAAATCGATCGCAAGTCGATTGTCCAGCAGTATAATATCAAGCTCAGCCAATCGAACCCATACAGCCCAGTCCAGGTTGGCAACGGAAACTTCGCGTTCGGTGTAGACATTACCGGACTGCAGACCTTTCTGCCGCACAACACTCTCTCATCCTGGGGATGGCACAACCAATCTCTGCCAACGACACCAAATCAAACGCTTCCATCAGACTACACTGGTGTTGACTGGTGGACCCACGATCGCCTCGTCAACTATGCGCAGCCCAACCCAGAACAGAAGGACATCAGTCAATGGATGATTGCGAACCCACATCGTATTAATTTGGGAAGAGTTGGACTGTGGTTCGGCGGCATCGCAGGAGGGAACGTCACCGAAGACCTACTTGCTGGTAAAGAGCAGGTGCTGGAACTCTGGGAAGGTGTCATCAAATCCACTTTCTTTATCAACGGAGAAAAGGTTGTGGTGACAACTGTTGCAAGTCCGGAAACCGACACTATCGCTGTAGACATATCGTCCAGCCTGGTAAGGACTGCAGGACTGGGCGCTTTCTTCGATTTCCCGTATGCGACCGGGAAAAATAAGTTCGATGCACCATTTGTTGGTCTCTTCAACGCTACTTCCAACCATTCCACGACGGATGAATACAGGAACAGAGGTGCGACAATCACGCATGTACTGGATGCAACAACATACACGGCCGATATTGCTTGGGAAGGTTATGCCCGCCTCTCGCGCCTGCACAGAAACGAGCACAAATACATCCTAGCCGCCAGTCAGAGATCTGAGACGCTCTCGTTCACTGTTACATACGCTCCTCGGGTGGCCAATGTGTCTTACACTGCAGAGACAGTCAAGCAAACGTCACAAAGCTGGTGGGCAGACTACTGGTCGACTGGTGCATTCGTGTCACTTCCTTCTGCCAGCAATGCTTCTGCACACGAGCTGCAGCGTCGCACGGTTCTTTCTCAGTACCTTCTTGCGGTCAATGGGGCTGGTAAAGATCCCCCACAAGAGTCTGGCTTGGTGAACAATGGATGGTACGGCAAATTTCACATGGAAATGGTCTTCTGGCATCTAGCCCATTGGATGTTCTGGGGAAAATGGGACCTCTATGATCGCAGTATCGGCGTCTATGGGCGCTTTCTACCCAGCAGCTTTGAACGGGCTGAAAAGCAAGGATACGAAGGCGCGCGCCTCGGCAAGATGAGCGATCCAAGTGGCCGATCTGCGCCAGGCGAGATCAACAGCCTCCTCATCTGGCAACAACCGCATCCCATGTACTTCGCCGAGATGGAATACCGATCTTTCCCGACCGAAAAGACTCTCGAGAAATGGAATGACATCTTGACAGGTGTTGCGGACTTCATGGCTAGTTATGCTTTCTGGAATTCCACAACGAATCTATACGATCTTGGGCCGCCCATGTATCCAGTCTCTGAGAATACTAATCCCAACGAGACGATTAATCCGACGTTCGAGCTAGCGTACTGGCGCTTTGGTCTCGATGTAGCGTCGAAGTGGCAAGCGCGGCAAAACAAATCTACCCCGGAGTCCTGGATACATGTACATGACAACCTAGCGCCTTTCCCCATTGAAGAGGACGCGTATGTGACGTATGAGGGTATACCAAACATGTGGAATACCCCCGAATATACGGAAGATCATCCGGGACTTCTAGGTATATATGGCTGGTTGCCCCCAGACTCTCGTGTGAACATGACAATCTTCAACAACACCATCGCCAAAGTACACGAGATCTGGAACTTTCCCTTTTCTTACGGCTGGGATTTCCCGTTGCTGGCTATCACGGAAGCGAGGGGAGGAGATGCGGAACGCGCTGTTAGTCAGTTGCTTGACGTGAATAATGCTTTCGATGAAGTAGGAATGCCAGAGGGTGGAACAAGAGTGCCGACGCCGTATTTTCCGAGCTCAGCGGGCTTACTACTCGCGGTGGGGATGATGTGTGGTGGCTGGGATGGGTATGAAGGGCCAGTATGGCCGTCGCACTGGGATGTCGAGTGTGAGGGTTTTACGCGAGCCATGTAGGGTGGTTGCTAAAACATATCATTCATACACCACGAGTGTTCCTAAACTTCTTTCACTTCATCCCTTTCCTCTTCACTATCCGCTTCTGGAAACGCCCCCATCTCTGTGAGGACGTCTGCGAGAGCAACACCCTGTTGATCTAGAAGTGAAACGCCCAGGTCTAGCATTTTTTTCACATTATACCTAAACCTCTTCCAGGTTTCCATCCTTCTCGTGTCCGCCACTTTCATCTTCTCTCGCCAGAGAAATGGCTTTCTTTCGAGATAGTCGTTGACTGAACACATGCGAATGGCATGTAACTTCCTGTCCGGCGGCAACGACCCGACGACCTGAAGCAATGACTCTAGAGTTTGAACTCCGTAACCAATGTTCTCTGGAAACCGACGAAGCACAATCTGAGTGACTGATATAGGGACATCACAGAGAGGCCCTGTGGCATCGAAAGTATCAAATACTTCCAGAGAGGATGTGTGATCAAAGACCTCAGACATGTTGGCCAGTTGGCTATCGTCAAATTGCAGCATTCTCAAGCCGGCACCGTACTTTGCCATGAAAGCAGGCAGATTACTCAATTTCCTCCAGTTATCGTGCGGCTTCCGGATTGCAAAAGCTGAAAGCTTGGGCATAGCCGAGTGTGTGAGCCAGCCTATTAGCTCATTAGTGGCGTACTCTGCAACCAGCTCGACCAAGCGCAGATGAGGGAACTCAGATGATTCAACATCGTCCAAGCCGCACGTTCGGCCTCTAACCCCCAGGTGGAGGTCTCTGAGGGCTGTGAAATGTTTTAAAAGAGAAAGCGCTTCCTGAATACGGATAGGGCGACGTCCAATGTATATAGACAGCTTTGTAAGTTGTGGGCCGTGAGAGTGTACAATAGCTGCGATTTGCGGACGCTGGAGATCAAAACGACAAAACAATTCGCTTAAGTTCGTCATGCGGGAGAGCAGAGTGGGCAATGCAGCTTGCAACGCCATCAAGGCTGGTTCAGTAGGGCTTACGCCCTCATCTCTTTGGATCCAGAATGAGCGCACCCAAGAAGCTTTCGGAGCATCGGATTCGATGGTACGGTCAAGGAGACAGGCCAAAGCTGTGATGTGGTTGGACGCTAGATCGTTGTTGCCGTCGATCGTTAAATGGCGGTAGACAAGTGGCTCTACCAAGTCCTGCGAGAGGTCAGATAAAAACACAATGGTTTAATCTGGATTTTTTTGTACCTTCCACGACTTGCACACATATTGCAGTCTCTGTAGATCACATGTTCGTTCTCTTCTATACTTGAGAGACTGGTTGAAAATGTGGGTGTCGTAAGTGACCACATGCTCGAATATGGTGAGCCATAGTTCGGTGGGTAAAGCGGGTAAGGCCCGATGCTCAATTAGCCGTCCAGAGGTTATGTCCATGATGCGATCGAAGTGAATTAGAAGACAGGAGGGTCAGTTGGGTGACGTTGCTTGGAAGGTGGATTTGTCTCAACACAGGCTAGCGCAGATCTGGTTAGACAGACCCCCGAGATCAGGCGAGCCGGGCTTGCATGTCATTACATCTACTTGGGGGCAAATGCTAGAACACCCTGAAGCATACTACTTCTGCAATCTCCAATTCCTTCATCAGCTGCTCCGACTCCACAATTCACCTTTGCGGTGACGATGTGTGCGATACGCCACGCTTGTAAGTCCCTCTCACAGACCGCCAACCATGACTAGAGCTATGTCTCCATGAAGTCCTTCATGCTTGTTGTCCACGAGGTCATCTTTGAATTGGGTGTCCTCGCACATGCCATAAACGCTTTTGACAAGTCCAGCGTGAAGGCGAGCGGCATATCGTCAAGGTGAATAGCCCAATTCTCTTTCGCCTCTCTGACCCACACATCAACCATGAAGCGCCTGCCGGGGGATCCCTCCGGAGTTCCATCGTATATGGTCTTGACTATGCTGGAGCCGGGACGTAGTGGCTTGTAGAAAGGCTGATTGAGAAGGGCGTCACGGAAGGCGACTAAGACGGCGTTTTTGAATGCAGTATCCATGAGCATCTCTCCCATAACGTAGCTCTTGCCAAGCATACCGGTCTCATGATTGAACCTCCCTGTATTCTTCGTGGTGACAGTAGGGAATGTCTTGAAGTACAACCAATGAAGGTAAATTTTGAAGATAGCCGGGTCTTCGTCGACAAGAGTGACGGTGCGCGCATCAACACGAGATGCTGCCCACTCTTCCTTCATGGCCTTGTCGAAGAACCTTGAGCTTCTCCTGATGACAGCTTCATGGACCGGAAACTTGGTTCCCTCATTGCCAACGTTCACTGTGATCGTGTCGAAGAGGCTAAACGCTATCAATATTGGTTCTTTCTAAGAAGTGAAGAACTCACTCGAAGGCGTCTGTCTGCAGGATTCGCCCATGTTCAGACTTGAACTCGATCGCCGGTTCCTCAATCTGTCCCGACATCGCTGCAGAAGATAGTTAATTGGCGGTTGTCGTTGGTTTTGTCGCGGTGTTTTGGAGGGGAAGCTGAGCAAAGAGTAGTGTAAACAAGAATGGCTAGAGCGGATTTTCATAGCGTCTCTAGGCAAGGTGATAGTGAAGATGAGTGGTGAGAACGCAGTGTCGCGCAGCAGATTGAACCATAAAGAGACGAGCGCGCCTGCCGTATCGGGACAAAGCGAGCGAGGGCATGTTCGGGTGTCCATGACATGTTGTCCTTATTTTACATTCTTCACAGTATAATACAGGGTCGTAAATTCGTTCCTCAAGACCATCGAATCTTCATCTTCCACTGATCCAGTTTGGCCTCCCACCATGTCTTCTGAGGCGCCCGCTCGATCTCCTCCATTAACCTAGTGTAGTGCTCTGGCGCAGATGTTGGCTTCAGTACCCCCGGTGATAGCGCATACTTTGTGCTATATCGGTTCTCTAGTAACGAGAATAGTGCGTTCACTTGGGCTTGCTCGAGCTTGGGATTCGCAGGCGGCGAAGATGCGGCCGGTGTTGTGGATGCGGGCGCTTGGGGCTTTGCGCCCTCTTCGGGAGTGGGTGTTATGGGTTGGACGCCGAATGGTTTGCCGTGATGCTCGATTGCGCGTGTCAAGGGTAAATTTGGGCGCAGAGCGTCTTTTGGCCAGAGAGCGAGGAGGCGGGTGTATTGCTTTGTTATCTGGACTATGTCAGCTGACTGTTTTGCAATGCAGCGCTGTATACTCACAGTATTCGCCATGGCTGTGTGTGAATTGAGAAAAAGTGAAGTTCTTCACCTTGTCGGGTCTCAAAGTCGATGATGCTTCGGTAACCAGGGTCCAGGCGCTATTGGATCGTGGCGCAGCAGCCGTGTCGCATGGCCCAAAAGCGAGCAACTTGCATTTGAAACGCCTCCTCCACTGCACCTGCCGCCTGACACGCTCCACCCACCTGCACCTCCCTCCTACAACCGCCGTCTCTCTCGTCCACGCTCGCTGCCTTACCTATTCCTACGACTCCCCGCCTTGACGACATCCGATAGCAGATATCCCATCGCCCCCTTCACGTCACGCATCCGGTTATCCGCGCAACATGCCTAGCCAGGGCTACGAGAGGGTGCGTTGCCCCGGTCCATCCCGACCACCATGCGACTGCGCGAAACCCCTATATTGCTTTCGCAACGACAGCACTAATGCGTTAATCCAGGTAGCCGCCCAAGACGAAGAAGAATCTCCCCAGACGCTGCAACCCGGCCAGCAGTGGCCCCCGGCCTCGCCACCACCCTCCTTCCACTCGCGCGCATCATCACCAAACGGCACATCACGGCATCTCCTATCCGAGGATCCGATAACGAACGAAGAAGACCGCACACTCGCCGATACCTTCGACTCGGATTCGGATGACGACGACGATAACGATGGGCGCGACGATCGGCAGCGGCTGATGCGGGGAAATCCGAGGACAGAAGAGGAAGCGGCGCCACCGGGCATCCAAAGGAGAGTGACGGAACTGCCAGTATTCAACACACAAGCGCCCACTCCAGGACGGGTGTACGGTGGAGGAAACGGTGGTGTCTGGGCAAATCTCAGCGCAAAGCCTACCAGAGGGGAGGATGCCGAGGAGAAGCCTCCAGTACGTATCAGACTATCGATAAGTCGCGTGAATCACTGCTAACATGCACCAGACATATGAACAAGCTGCCGCAGACGCGACACCACCCTACTGGGAAACCACCATCCTCGCTCCCGGCACTTTTGGCGATGAAGTCTTTGTCGAAGGCCTCCCCGTCGGCTCCCTCTTCAGCTTCCTCTGGAACGCCATGATCTCCATGTCCTTCCAACTCGTCGGATTCCTCCTCACCTACCTCCTCCACACGACCCACGCCGCAAAGAACGGATCCCGCGCTGGTCTCGGTATCACGCTCGTGCAGTTCGGTTTCGGATTCCGCTCCGCCGTACTCTCCCCGAACAACGGTAGCAACGATAACCCCGGACAAGGGTTCGACGGTGGCGTTCCAAACGACCCGAATGCACACGACTTTGACCCGGACAAGGTCGGCAGTGGAAACACAGGGGGTAGTGATATGACACCCGCAGCGAGTGCCATCACAGGCAGTGACTGGATAGCGTACGGCCTGATGATTGTCGGCTGGTTCATCTTGATCAAGAGTGTATCAGATTTCATTCGCGCAAGGCGGCACGAACAACTCGTTCTCCAGTCTCCCGATCGGGGGCTGGGTGTGGCGGTGGTCGCCGAGGGTGAAAGCCCAGAGCGCAGTGTATAATTTCTTCAAACGAGCCTCAGACTGGCATCTTCTTTTCTTTCCTTTCATAGCGTATTACTTGGTTGCATCTAGGGACGGCGTTTACTATTGGCTAAAGACAGATCGAAAGACACGCGCTTCGCTGTTGTAGCAGCACATCACCGCACGATTTTCCTTATACACCTATCTATTACTTTATTATCCAAATCCCCTTCCGGAGTTTCTTCCACACGAAGTCCGTCACCACCCAGCTACTTCCCCTGTCCTGATGCAGTTCATTCTCTAGCGTCATCAAATGCTCAGCTGAAATCCACATGGCGGTAGTAGAGATATATTGAATTAGTCTATCGGCTATTGTACATGCACAACATGTGCTGGGTATCTTTGGGGTAAAAATCTCAAAACAGCTCTTGACAAAGCGCTCATATCTCGTAGACGAAATTAAACCATGTGCCTGCTGATACGTTAGCAAGCATCTCTTGAGATGAACCGCGGACATGACTTACCACAAGGAACCGCCGCGCATGAATCTTTGGCACATATTTAGCATGCGACCTATCAAAGCTGCGGATTGTTACATCATAACGCACTTTTCAGTCGCATACACCTCTCCGTACTGGTCCACGCCCGCCATCATCTCGTTGTACCGCTGCTTGTTCTTGACTTCCTCCGGGAACCATTTCTTAAGGAAGGCGGCTTGTTCGGTGTCCAAGTTGTCTATAGTCACATAGTCAGCATGATGTTCCAAGGCGTCTATGAGTTAAAGACATGCTTACCTGAATTTGCATCAAAGACTGTCTTCTCCCGGCAGAACGGACAGTTGTATTGCTTATTGTTTTGCATGACGATCAAGCACCGGATGCAGAAGGTATGGTTGCAGCTAAGCTTTACGGGCCGCCATTGGATCTCCATGCACATAGGGCAAGAGTAGTCGTCTATCTGCGGGACGTGGGATAGGATCTGTGTGTTGACCTCTGCGCAGACGGCTTTGGCGAGGTGTTCCGAGAACTCTGGGTATTCTACCTGACGCGGGAATGTGGACTTTACGCCTAGCGCTGTGCGTTTATCAAATTCTAGTGACATGTTAGTTCAGCGTCTCCATGTTTGTTAGGATATGGGGGTATTTACTCTTGAGGATCTTGATCATGGCATTATGGTTGATCTCACCGAATCGCAGGCCCTGGAGAATCTCCCGGTTGATGTGCATGAATGTGTTCAGTGCTTGTAGATTCTCCTTCTTCTTCAGTTGTTCCACCAAGCCAGCCTTGGCAATCTTATTTGAGAATCCTGCCAGTCTCGCCATGGCCTTCTCCGAGTCGTGCGATTTGTGGTCCATCTCTGTTGTTCCAAAGAAGATGCCTTCTTCCACGTATATCTGGAAGATTTGACGCCAAGCAGTGAGCATTTTCCTGTTGGCTCTCCGGTCTGGATCCGTCAACTTTGCAACCTGCTTCCCTAGTGCTTCAATCTGGACGTTCATTCGCTTTTGCTCCCGCTCCTGCAATTTCTCCAGTCCTGTAACTTCACTGGTAAGCCTGGTGAAGAACTCGGTATCCGAGGTGATGGGAACCTCCACTGTACGATACCCTGGTCGGTTGCGAGAAGCATTGGCCGGAGTGGTAGTTATAGAATTGGATGGATCTATGGAGTCGATGGACTGTAGTGACGAGTTTGAGTCGTCCAAGACGCGCATGTCAGACATGCCCGTCTCAACAGCCAGCATATGGAGTTTGCGTCTGGTGTCATCATCGAGCTGGGCGCTCAGTACCTCTCCGCTCGATTCGTTTACGTAGAAGAGGAGCTTTGGATGGAATGCCTTGCGCGAGGGCGATGCATTGTCCTTGGCACTGTCGGGGTTGAGAATGTACTCGAAAGGTCGTTCTTGATCGTCGTCTTCTCTGGTAGAAGCATTGTAGTCTTCGACATGTTTGAGTAGTTTGGACAAGGTGGCAGGATCGAGGCCCACTTGCCGCAGCTCGTCGGTAAGCCTCTTGATGCATTTCTTGAGCTGCGAGTATGAGATAGCCGAGTCGACCCACTCTGGCGGGAAGCCCTCATCCCGGAGAGTCTGCTTGAACAGATGGCCGAACTTCATGTTTGGAGCAGGGTTGACGAGGTACCGTGGTAGGGCTGGCCGATCAGAAGGCGCAGAGGAGGCACGTGGGGAGCTGAGTGGTTGCGACCCTTAGCGGGGTACCTTCCACGCTTGTTCGGCCACAGTTCCGGGTCGGGCTAACGAAGCGTTCCAGCGATCACCGCCCTGGGATATGCAGATGCGGCTGTGTAGTAGAGCGGGATTATTGGAATGAAGTGTCAAAGAGTCCCAGACGTGTGGTGGTGGGGAAGCAATGGTGTTGGGTGAGAGAATTACGACTTGTCAACAAGGGCGATTTGCTCCGCGGGTCATGCGCCTATGTGCCTGGAAAGGATGCCGCTAAATGGAGACCCCAGAATTCGATGGAGATTCGTCTTAGGCCATCACGAAGACATGGGGATGCGCCTCTCTTATGAAGCAAATCAAAGCATGGCGTGTGCCGGCTTTCGGCGCTGTCTAGACTGCGGTGGCTCCAATAGCGCTCTTCTTCAATCACTGTCTGCTCAAACTTTTCGCCTTCGCAGTCCGCGACCAATCAACGCCAAGCGCACAGTCATAGGCGATTTGCTTGCAGTGACGCAACATGGCTCTTCGCGACTCACCCAACTAACACGATGTGAAAGCCGGGGTAGTCTCGGTGTATAGCAGGCTGTCAGCACGCGCACCGAGAAGCTGTGAAAGCTGCACTACAAACTTATATGCTGTCACTCTCCCATACACGCCCACACAACTGAACTGCAGCATCCAGCCACTGCCACTGCAGGTAGTCCGAGACCCGAAAATCTCGAATACGTCCGAACCGTACACCTAGCTGCATCGAGCCAAAGCCACTATGGGTGCATCACAGTCCACCGGCGGCGGCGACGCGCCTAGTAATGCCGGCGAAGTCAAGACAAGTTACTACGAACTACTGGGTGTGGAGCGCAATGCCACTCAAGATGAGTACGTAACAAGACACACGTAACCTATTCAATACTAACATCTACAAGACTCAAGAAAGCATACCGCAAGAAAGCGCTCGAGCTGCACCCCGACCGAAACTACGGCGATGTCGAACGTACCACTGCCCTCTTCGCCGAAGTCCGATCCGCATACGAAGTTCTCTCAGATGACCAGGAGCGCGCATGGTACGATGCACACGAGAGGGATATACTGCGGGGTACTACTGGCGAGGAGACCAGCGACCATTACCAGGGTGACATGAAGGTTACGACAGCCGACGACATAACGCAGATGATGGGCAAGTTCAGGGGGAATGTGGACTTCTCAGACTCGCCGAACGGCTTCTTTGGCTTCGTACGAGAGACGTTCGAGCAACTTGCGCGCGAAGAGGAGTATGCCGCTGACTACGACGACCTCGACGTACCGGATTACCCTAGCTTTGGTCACAAGGACGATGAGTACGAGGGTGTTGTGCGCGACTTTTACTCCGCATGGAACGGCTTCGCGACGGTGAAAAGTTTTGCATGGCTGGACGAATACAATCCCTCTCTTCAACCTGATCGCCGCTATCGAAGGGCAGCTGAGAAGGAGAACCAAAAGATCCGCGACGAAGGCAGAAGGGCGTTCAACGATGCGGTCAGAACGCTGGTTGCGTTCGTACGCAAGCGAGACCCACGATATACCCCGAACACACAGACGGCAGAGGACAAGGCCAAAGCACAGCGGGATGCTAGGAAAGCGCAGGCTGCACGAGCAAGAGCTGCGCAGATCGCCAAGATGGAGCAAGAGGAGCAGGCGGTGCCAAGTTGGGCTACCGCACGTCCGGCGGATGAACTTGAAGAGGAAAGCGAGGGTGAAGTCGAGGAAGACGTCTACGAGTGCGTTGCGTGTAACAAGACATTCAAGAGCGAGCGACAATACGATGCCCACGAGAAGAGCAAGAAGCATCAGAAAGCAATCCAGGCTCTCAAGAGAAAGATGCAAAAGGACAACGCCCATCTGGACTTGGATGAAGACGCTCTCAAAAGTGACGAGATCCTACCGGTGGAGGATGAGCTTGCAATGGAAGCCCAAGTTTCTGGTGGTGGAGACTCCGATGCATCCGTGGAAAACCTCGCGACAAGGACGAATGAGCTTGACATAGACGACCACAGTACAGACGAGGAAGAAGGCCGTGTGGACCGAGTGGCACCTAGTAATACAATGTCTGCATCGCCCGTCGACTCAGAAACAAGCTCAGACGTTGACGACGAATATGCTTCGCGCTCCGAAATAGAAGCACGACTTGCTGGCGCCAGCACAGAACCCTCCACAGCACCCACCGAAGATCTCGACTTTAAACCTGAAGATCCCACAGAACCAGAAGTCACCGCCCCGCCGGAACCCAAGCTCGGCAAGGCTGCGTTGAAGCGCATGAAGAAGGCTGCAAAACAGGCTGAGAGCGAAGAGCCCGATATCAAAAACAAGTGTAATGGCTGCAGCGCTGGTTTCTCGTCCAAGACTCAACTGCATCAGCACTTGAAGAAGCATCCCGAACATGCGGCGCTGAAATCTATCGCGCAGCCGGGTGGTGGAAAGAAGAACAAGAAGCGGTAGTAAAGATGATGGCACGAATCACGATCTGTATGAGAGACATGGTATTGATGTATGGTTTGCTTTGGCATAGCGCAGGTGTTTGCTAGAGGCTAGATGATTTGTTAGACTTGCATTGAGCGGTTGTTACTCGCATTTTCAAGGCGTCTTTAAATGTGCTGCCATTAAAACCACATTCAAAATAGAAGTTGTCGCTGATATACATTCCCCACTTGCCAATAGTAAAGTATTCCATGTCCTCTCGTATCCAGTTTTGTGTTCCTGCAGGGTTAACCACTACAAACCACCTCGGTATTAGACTCAGAAGCCTGCTGGACTTCACTCGAAGATTCTGACTGTTTGACACGCAATTATCCTCAAGCAAACATAGACATTCGAATCACAGCAACGGCTACATGGCTTTCCAACTTCTTGATTTCCCCGACCGATTCTAACGGAAATTGCCAACAACGATCCGCACGCTGCCCGTCATGTCGCAGGATCAGGAGCTTGTACGATATCAGCGTCTACTCACACTCGACGATATCGGCGGGAAAGCCAATGAGTTGGGTATCGAGGCTACACAAGAAGAGCTGAAACATGTGCCGTTGGTGTGGTGGGACGTCAAATAGCACATGGACAACGAGAGTGCCGGCTTACGACAGTATGCTGTTCTTTGGTCTTCAGGAGTGGAATGCGCAAAGAGACAAAAGAACAACAGTTGAGAGTAGCGAGCACTGTGATCTCTTCGCCCGACGACGTGTTGGTACAAACAGTTGTTTTCGTTACTTGAAAATGCCCCAAATGATGCAAATGTTGAGAATACCGTGAGGAGAGTCTATATGAGCGCGTCCGAGCGCTCGATAAGCTTTGGCAAGCCATGGGTGCGTTCGCGAAGTGGAAGTTCTTCCGTGGAGTTAGTGCATATGCGTTTCCACACCCCACTACGCCCCTGCAAGTGCTATCGCTATACACATTATATCTCGGGTAGTCGCCTGACAGAACTCTCGCATTGCCACTTGTGTAGTCATGTTCGCGTTGCTTTTGATTCAAGGCTACCAAAAGGCGTGCAAGGCAAGACTAGCGTCTCCAACGGTTGAGGAGTTCTTTTTTCTGGCGTGTGGGTTCTCGAACATCAGATAATCATGCCTTAAGATTCTGATGGCATTGCCGTGTGCCGGGTCGAGCATGCGAGCGAATGCGTGAGAGCAGAGAAATGATCAACCACCGGGATTAGGCCATTCCATTCCACAGTCAGGCATTCTGTCAATGTCCTGTGCCGCACTCAGCCGTTGTTCCACCAGCCCGTGTCGTATCGGCAAATGAACAATTGTGTTCGAGTACGCAGTGTTTCGTGAGCAAAAGTGACGATTGTTGATAGGTGGCAGGGACTGGGTTTCTCCTTGACATGGCCCCAAACACCAAAAAGGTCACTGATAGTAAGATAGAGGGGCATTCGGGTCTCTATGCGGCGCAGGGTCGAACGGGTTGGGGCGCATTGATCCTCGTCGGATGTTGCGGATCCCACCTTCCTGATTGTGATGCTCGCCTTGCGACGTCCCATCACCTCCATGTACAGTTAGCTGAGGGTATAGAGCTGCAGATGCCAGGGGATAAGTCCACCTGGAGTGTTAAGCTCCCGCGCTAAGCCGCGTGGGCCCTCGAACAAGAGTTCTCCCATTGCATGGCGTTGCTTGACGTCAATGCATCGGGGACTGCTCCAAGACGTTTCCTTCGCGCACTTTTAGTCCTATGGTACTGGGTTGGACTGCAATGTGGCGGTTCGCGGCCGGCGTGATTGTTGATGCCCGTTAGCGTTCGCGGTCAGAGTCGCTTGCGTGCGCGTGCTCTCGCCAGCTAGCCAAAGACACGACTAGCCGAGGCTGATGCGTCTTAGCGCCAGGGTCTGACGGAAGCTTCTACCCCTGAACGATCCAGGCGAACAACTCCTATCCACTCTTTCCTGACACCTTCAGATCCTTTTGATCGTATTCCAGGCCATGCACTTATCGTGTCCGGCTCTAGCGGCCCTCTGATAGGGCCTTGATCGAACTGTCAGCTCGTACTTGCCCAGTCTGTCATGGTGTGGGGATAGCCCAGGGGTTCGCATGGACACCCTCCGCTACTAATGGTTAGCTGTGCTCAGTCGACGCTTGTCAGAATGGACGCTCGTATCAAATGGGGCACTATCTGAAGGCGGCTTTTCTCTCGAGTCTTGTCCATTTCTTGGGATTCTTGTCGCTCTCCAACTTCGCCTCTCGACCTCACAACTTACCCTCAGTCATTCGTTAATACAGTCGCGCGTTGTTCACTCGTTATGCAATCATGATGCCAAAGGCGTACCGTCTATCTTTCTCGCACCTCGTCTTTTACATCTCGACCTTTGTGATCGCAACCCAGTTATGGTCCATATGGGGGCAATCGAAACACAACTATATTCCTTTTTCACACCATAGGAATCTTCAGCGAGACTGGGACTTCAACGCCGACCTGCATGCCAATGTGCACACACTCAGCCATGACCAGTGCGATTCCGCCTTTCCAAAGCTGTATCACAGCTTAGATCAGTCGGTTAGCCTAAGGCAAGGCAGAAAGGTGCATATTCAAGATATCGAAATCGATCAGGGAAGATGCATGCTACGGGTTATGATATACGAGGGCGAGGTACGTCTATACGCGTCTGGTCAGTTTCCGGGCTACAACTAACCTGCCACTCCTAGCTGTTTGTCGTCGATGCCGGAAAGCCAGAGGAATGCTACGTCACGAACGGAAACGAGAGAGAACGCATTCTAGGAACCCTAGCACAAATCGACCGCGCCGTCTCCACCACCTCAACATCCGACCCCGCGATCCCAAACGTCGAATTCTCCCTCTCGCTTGACGATCTGCCACGGCGATCTAGGAAACAGGGAACATTCTTTGGGTACACCCGGAAGGAGGGTCCGGAGTACAAGGACATTTGGATGATGCCAAACTACGCGTACTGGGCTTGGAACTACACCCATGCTCCAAGCTGGAATAGCATCAGGAAAGAGATTGAGCAGAAGGAGACCGAACTGCCATGGGCAAAGAAGGACCCTAGGATCGTATGGCGAGGCAAGGTCAAGATGGCTAAGCTTAGGAAGGAGCTAGTCCGAGTCAGCGAAGGCAAGGAATGGAGCGACATCAAGCCTGTGGTCATCAACAACGCCAGCGACCCGCATACCAAGGACGTTATGAATCTGAGGCAATTCTGCGGGTAAGAGACAAAGCTGCGACATGGATATGAAACCGTACTGACCGTCTTTTAGATACAAGTTCACCGTCCAAACCGAAGGTACCTCGTACTCCGGCCGCCTTAAGTACCTCCAGCTTTGCCGCTCAGCCCTCGTTACACACCCTCTCGAATGGCAAGAGTTCCACACACACCTAATGAGGCTTGCTGGTCCCGATGTGAACTACATTGAAGCGTCCGAGAACTTTGGAAACCTCGAATCGGCTATGGAGTACTACCGTGCGCATGACAACGAAGCCGAGGAAATTGCAAAGAACAGTTACGAGACCTTCACCAGAAGGTATCTGACACCAGCGGCAGTGACTTGTTACTGGAGACGGCTGTTTTGGTCATGGGCGAGTGTACAGGGATATGAGCCACAGTTGTACGTACCTGACAAGGACGGCAATATGGTCATGCGAGGTACACCATGGACTGCCTTTGCGGCCAATTGGCCCAAAGATCCTGCAGCTATTCCTTGAGCGGGAATAAGAAGTGTTAGGATAGGCGTTGCATGAGCATTTGGAGTACTTGGTTTTATGCTTACGATACCCGCGTTCAAGCGTTCCAATAGACACGCATTATTATCTACGTTTACAGTAGTCACTTGAGGCGGAGCTTTGTCCTTTTCAGTCGTGTTTTAGATGGCTTTGACCGCCTTTGTCCTGCATCATAGGATTCAAGCGAGTAATATAGGTTCATCAACCCGCACTCACATGTACATTTACCTTTGTACTAAACGTTGACGCTTGACGCCCAGCTGCGACTATAACGAGGATTTGTCTTGACTGCAAATCCTACTTGACGGACTAGACTGAACCTGAATGATCTCTGGTGCACAGCTGATCGGACAGCATGTTTGACCTATACCCTGATCTTTACCGCTGTATCTTGCAGTTTGGCGCACGCTCGTTTGCGGCTCAGGCTAGTGTGCCTATTTATGCACAAAAACACGCATGCTGTAATTTGATAAGATCCTAGAGCAGAGATATTGATTGAGTGGGCAAGTATATAGAGAGAGGTGAGGTCGTTCTACATGAGGGTAATAGTACAAAGGACCAAAAGACAGTCGACAGCGCTGAGCTTTGCAAGATACATTAAGGAACGTCCGCAAACCACTTGTGCGCCAAAGCCTCAGAAGCTGTGATGCGTCGTTTCGGGTCCATACTCATCATCTTCGTCAAAAGATCCTTCAGATCTTCGTCGAGATCGCTCCACAGGCAGAGTGGACGTCGCGGATAGTCTTCGCTGAAATTCGCCATCACGAAGTTCAGGTAGCCAATCCAGGGGCTATCTTCCAAGTAGGTGATCAACCCTTCCATATCTTCTAGGTCGCTGAAATATGAGACCTGACGTCGAACGACGATGGCCTCGATTGGATTGTCTTCTGTAGCCTTTTTTGGATCTACAGCGAGAACTGCTTCCTTTGTCACGGCGTATATGCACTGCGAAATTGAGTTACCCATTGAAGCACGATGCAAGTGGTAGGCCACTTACAACCAGACCGAAGGAGAACATGTCTGTCGGCTTTTGTATCGCTGCCGCTGCGTGCGCCTCTGGACTGCGCCACATCCAGTTTCCCCACTGCCTGCCACTGATGTAATGGTTATCCGGGAGGCGAACCATATCTTCCATGTCAGCAATCTGCACTTCTTTGACTTCTAGCTCCCCTCCTTGATCGTTCCAATCCAGCAATATATTGTTTGGCTTTATATCGGTGTGCACCATCCCTTTGACGTGTAGCGCTGCGAGCCCACGCAGAGCGTCTCGAAGGACGAGTTTTGTTGTGGAAAGCGGAACGTCTTTCTGAACGAAAGACAGTAGGTGGTCACGTCGGTATGGATGTATGAAAGTGCAATGTTCTGAGTCGGTGTCTTCGGCAACACGTACGTGAGGCGTACCGCGAAGAGTGTCAAACATGGTCTTGCAATGCTTGTAAGTTTTCTCAGGGACTGTCTTCAGCACGTACTTCCGATCCTCAGAGCTGTAAAAGACGTCAGACGAGTATCATGTTGTTTGTTTGGGATAGTGTCAACTAACGTGGCAAGATACACACGTCCATGGTTGCCCGGCCGATCTTGAAGTAGTCGTTCGACAACGTAACGGCGACCCGACTGCCCAATTACTCGCGTCAGGGCAGCGGCTCTTGCGATGGGAGCATTGGACATTCGTGTTGATAGTCAACAGAGTTGAACAGACCCAATGATTTGAGCTCTAGATGGCGACTTGTAGCAATGGAAGGCGCGTTCAATTGGGTAGCAACGAATGTGAGAGCGGACAAATCGTGATTCGAGACTGAACTGCACTAGTAGCGCTTGTATTGCAAAGATCTCACGTGCGTGTCAGGTCGTTGCCTGAAGATGACGCGCCCAGCGCCCACAGTCGTTACCCCAGACCCCTCATCTCGAAATCTCGCTAAACTCTGGGAGGCACAGTCGGGTTGCAGGAGAGAAGAGGCAGAGCAGCGGAAGACGTGGCAATGGGAGCAGACAGCGTATAGCAATCGCCTGCTGAAGTGCGAACGTAGTGCTAGACACAAACGATCGATGAACGTGTAGTGGCGTCTCTTCTCATCAACTTGATAGAGTGATTTGGCGCGTGCACACTTGCGCACGTGATTGCGCGCCTGACGTGCTGCGCCTCCTCCCCGATCTTTGCGACGGACATGCATCGACTCCACGACTGCATGCCATCTCTAATGACGGTGAATAGGTACGCACATGCTGCCAAGCTTCAGGACCGCATGTCCCTCTCTTCACTAAACATTGTCCAGCTGCAAAGACCCGCATCGCGTTTCCCGCTGCTCCGCAACCCCACACTAGCCACTATGCCGCCCAAGGCAACACCGCCCGAATTCCCCGTACAGGCGTTTCCTACGTGTACAGATTTCGAAACCTTTCTCGAGCGCGAACATGCCACGGCTCCCGGCCTCTACGTGAAGCTCGCCAAAAAGAATTCTGGCACACCCTCAATAACGGCAGCGGAAGCCGTCGAAGTAGCGCTATGTTATGGCTGGATAGATGGTCGCGCCAACGCCTACGATGAGACCTGGTGGACGGTACGCTACACACCACGGAGAGCGAACAGTATGTGGTCTCAGAAGAACGTCAGGACGGTGGCACGTCTTATTGAGACCGGCCGAATGCGTCCTGCTGGCCTAGCTGCCATTGATGCCGCGAAAGCAGACGGGCGATGGGATCGTGCGTACGCAGGGTCTGCTACAATCGTAGTGCCCGATGATCTCAAGAATGCGCTTTCTCTGGTACCTGCTGCGGAAGCTCAATGGGAGAGCATGAACAAGAGCGACCGATATACAGCACTGCTGAAGGTAGAGACAGGCACAAAGGCCGGAAGACCAAGAAGAATAGAGAGCATAGTTCAAGTGCTGGCAACAGGGAGACGCTTGAGTAGTAGTACCACTGGAGACAGGACAGCTCGGAAGGTTGCCAAGAGAGCTGGAAAGAACAGCGCGAACGCTGAACCCCACATGCAAAAAACAGCACCTTCACCCCTACGAACAGGACTGCGACGACGCAGGGACTGAGATCTCCCCCTAGTTATGCTCATAGTGTACAGCAATCGACGAGTATGCGCCCACAGCATGTCGACGCAAAAAAGATGGACTTTTTGGCAAAAACATACAACAGCGGGGATTCGCTAGTGGTCACCCACCTAACTACTAATCCGCCGGTACAATGCTTGTATATGGCTGAGCGGACGGGAAGCCTAATTCTCATTGTCCTATGGTCGTATGTGAAAGAATGAGCGACGCGGACCTAATATATATTTGGTTTAAATTGGGTGAAAGCTATGTAAACGCCCACAGCCTTTCCGCTGGAGGTCCGGCCCTGTCACCTTACAGTCCCTGCTTCTCGCAGATCCGGCGAATCTCATTCCATGTCTGTGACTGCAGCTTCTTCCCTTGGTACCCAATGACCAGCTCACCTGGACTGCTGGGGTTCAGTGTTTCCTATGGTATGCAACACTTGTTCAGAGGACTCACTCATCCAAAATGTCATCAGACCAGAATTGGTTGTGACCGATCTTTCCCAGAAGCGTGGCACTGACCAACTCGCGCGCTCCTTGTTCAGCTGTGCGTCCCACAAACATTTGCATCAATTTTGTTGGCATCGCGAGATACCATGGGAAATCTCTCCCCAGATTCGTGGTGCAATAGCCCGGGCATGCAACATTGATGAAGACATCGGTATTTCCTTGGGCGTCCTTGGAGAAGTCGTCGACGAGGCCTTGTCGTATGTACTGCGTGACCAACTTGATCAATCCATACGTCTTCGCGGCGTTGAAAGCAGTAGGGTCATTCAGCTTGTCGATCAATGTCTGACCACTCTTGACTTCAGCGTCTGCAGGCATGACATACTTGCTAGCGAAGCTGCCAGTTATGGTGAGCTGGCCTGGATTACCCTTAGACGCGTTACTCTTGAGGCTGGGAAGCAGTAGCATGGCGAGATAGGCCGTTGATAGGATATTGACTTGCAGGGCTGTCTCGTAGCCTGTTCTCTCGTTCTCGACATAGCTCGGAGGCGCGACCCCCGCGTTCAAGACGACGATAATAATCTCGTCGTATCTGCTGGTGACATCGTTGGCGAAGGTTTTGACAGATGTCCAGTTACTCATGTCGAGCTCGAGGATATCAATGACTTCGGCTTTACAGCCCGTCTCTGCGATGATAGCGCGCTTAGCTTCTTCCCCCTTTGAGAGATTGCGTACTGCGAGGATGACTTTGGAGGCACCGTTGGTAGCGAACTTGGTGGCGGCAGGCAAGCGGATCCCAGTATTCGATCCAGTGATGATCACTGTCTTTCCCACAAAGGACGATTTTGGGTCTTTAGGCGGGTTTTGCTTAGCCCATCGCATCGCTGCCATCTGCCCTTTCACAGAAGCAGGTGGGCCGGGACCGATAAGTGATTGGACATTGACATCGGTCGCCATGTTGGGTTTTATTTACAGATGAGATGGAAAGAAGGAAATGTAGATTTGGAGGAAAGAGGTAAGAAGATCACGAAGGCCCTTAGTCGATTTTGGGGCAGATTTCATTTTGTACAACACGCAGCAGTCACGACTATGGGGTTCAGGGGGGTCGCGACTCATCCGCTTCCCGTCCTGCGGAACTCCGCAGTACTGAGGCGGACGAACTTCACAGATGCATCGCCAAATCATTACCTGATGCTTTCGGTCTTGTCTTACTTTTGTATCAGCTTTTGCATAATGTAAAGACGTTTGCAAAAAGCCGATAATTTAGATGCGAGTATGTACTGAGTTTAAGATCACTTGGTATCGCTCTTCGAGTCTCGTGTTGCAGGTGCAGTATTTTGTATATCACTGAATACCTAAACAACTTAGGCTGCCGTTGACTGCGGAATAGCGCTTTGGTGCTTCTGTTGACTGAGACCTAACAATTGTAGTGTAAACTACCTACGAGGAGTATTGGCCTGACTATAATTACCCCACGGTTGGCTTCCCACCTCTTGGTGCAGGGACTTATCTCGGCAGCTGGACTAGGTTGTTGACCCCCTGCATCCTTTTGAGTACGTATCGCACAGACGATGAGCAGGTAGATTATTTGGACTGGTGGTTTTCGGGGCGTGTTCTCTTAGGTCTTCGCTATCTCTTGAGCGTTGCGGATTATACTTATCCTGATATCTCATGGCCTGAAGTTAGCCGTAGACTATCTCTATCTCTTCTAGTATGGATAGTCTTATAGAATTGCGACAGTTCGACTGTGCCACCTATTGGTACTTGCGCTAAATGAGTTCAATAACAGCTCGAGAGTGCCCTAGATCAAGCTCGTATCTACAAGACTAGCTGGGATGCACTAGCGATCGGGTGACACTACAATCACATATTGCAGCGATGCCGTTCGAGTGTCTGCATGCTCGAGTCTGCCTCTCCCAGATGCTGATTCCCAATCAACTTTGATCAAAATCTATGATAGACGACAGGACAGCACTTCCTGGGTGAAGATTTAGCACTCGTGTAGAGATTGGATATGACACAATAAACTCCAGAATCAATAGGTGCGATTGCGTTCAAACGTGGTCGACATCATGGGTTTGCTTGTTGGGAGACTGAGGTGACAGTAATCGGTCAATCTTGTAGTGCCGGACATAGTGAACTTGGGCAGTTATCTCCGGCTGCCCAAGCGCCGCCACAAGTCGTCACTACCATTCCATCACAGACGCATCACAACGACCCAAACAATGACACTAGCCCGCACTTACTTGTCGCTCTTGGCTCGTCGTTACAAAACCATTGTCCATAGCTGTGTCAAGGGCAACACCCGCCCAGGGCGTCAATCTGCGCGCCGTCGGGCGACGCGACGGTCAACTACGCAACCTTACTGGGGAAGGCAGAGTTCGTGGATCGGTGCCGCACCGCCTCTCACGGTCATTGCCTGCATCGATGCTCTTGGGTATCGCCTCCAACAACCATCGCTATCGCGATGTCACATGCTAAAATCACATGGAAGGCCGAACAGCTTGTACCACAGCTGATCAGAAGAGCTTGATCGGAACCAGGTACCACCTAATGTCTAGCATCGCAACTCTAGGTCCGACTTCGGCTCTTCCGACAATGTGTCAACGACGATCAGTATCGAAACTCGGCGCACGTATCACGAACGGAACAGTGCAATACCAATCCAAAGGATAAATTGTTCCAAAAACGACGAAGCCAAAACACTACAGGCTAAATGTAGATGTAGCAGAATGGTCCGCCCATGGTGCTCGACGCATCTTCTATGGTGATGGGCCCAGGATATGCTGCCCCCATGCTCAGGGTGTCGTTGAGTGTTGCATTGGGCGAGGTCGGGGTTCCGATGAAGGTAGGTCCATACAAGGCAGTTGTACGCTCACTCGGCTTCAGGTTCTGCCAAGTCCAGTAAAGCCTGTCAATCGACGAGTGGTGGAAGAAGAAGTAGGGATCTCCAGGAGATGCCGTGAAATCACCCGCCGGATCGCCGCCAATGATAAAGTGACCGGCCGTGTGCACGCCCATGAAACCGTTCGCGAAGCTGTTCCCCATTGGCCCACCTTGCAAAACTTCCCAAAACGTTTGGTAGTCGTCACTCTGGAGCAGAGAAACCACGTCGTCGTCCTTCAGCCATCCCTCTCCTGTGAAGCCGTTGATATCGCGCATGAGACAACGGGGGTTGTATCCTAGGCCGGACGGATCGGGATTCGGTCGGACACATTTGGATGCAGGAACCAACGGTCCGAGATTGACAGTGAAGTTCGTGAACGGTCCTGAGGTCACGCAGCCACCACCTTGGCCATGCGGAATCTTGATGACTGGTTGATCGTTCGACGGGATTCCAGTCCATGTCTGATTGCTGCATCCTTTAGCGCCCTGTCCAGAAATCGACGTCGCAGAGCCGTCGAGCAGAGGCGACTTTGTAGGATCTTTGTGCCATCTGGAGTAGCTGTCTAGATATTGGTGTACGAAATCAGCGTATGCATCACATGCAGTTCGTACAGAGACACCTACAGTAAGGTTGCGTGCCCTTGTAGCCGCATTCATTGCGCAAAGTCTGCTCATACGCCCAGGTAAAGTATCGGTGCCATGTAAGGAAATTACCCGTAACGCTAGACGTTGGTGGACAAAGTCAGTACGTATATCACATTCGTGTTCCAAAGGGAGACCTACTGGATGTTGAAGGTCTGCTGCATGTGGGTGGCCACGAAATCGTCATAGCGATTTCTACAACCGGGGCACATCTCCTTCGGTGTCTTTGACGGCAGCTCAGTTAGACACTGAACCGCACTAATGTATGCCTTCTTCTCAGCCTTGGAGAAGGTAGACCTTCAAGACGATCAGCATGGTTATCGAGGAGCATTAGGTTCCGGAGACTTACCACTCCTGCCGCACTTGGACGTTGCTGGGGTTGCACTTTTCGTACTGCGCGGGCTTTTGAGTGGCTTGATAGAGCTGCTGGTTGATTGCAGCGCCACCAGCCATCAGGTCCTGCTTGATGCTACCCAAGCCTGCGAGAATGTCGTCAACATGGTCGAAGGGTCTCTTTTTAAACTGCGCTCGGTCGTGGGGAAGCGCATTCCCCACGGCCAAAGGCAGAAGTAGGGCGACTTGAAGAACACCCCGCATGATGTGTGGCTTGGGAAGGAGAGGTTATGTCAAGCTCAATCTGTGGGAGCAAGCGATGTTGAAGTATGACAAGACTGGAGGACTTAACGCCGATCTTTTGAAATGAGGCTCAACTACGGTAAAAGACGTATGAAGGACAACGGGCCTACTAGCTATGCCAAGTGCACGTCTCGGACCACTTCTTATAGTTATTCACACGACATGCAAGGACCCGTAAAAATCTCGAAGGCGAGGTGCTCGGGCACCGAGGTTCTGCATGTCAAGGATACATGTGAGTGTGCGAGGTGGCCTACTACTCTGCGTAGTAGATATTCGCATTCCAGAAGAATCCGAACAGGCCGGCATGTCCAACTGGGGAAGGTCTCTCATACTTTTCAAACTCCGTGTATAGACGGCGTTACAGCCACTGCCAACTACCTGGTACTAGGAGCGGCTGATTCGATCGGCAACAGATCCGATCGGCACGCACTATGGATGTTGTGTGTCTCGCTACTATTCGCGCATTCCCGTAGTACAGAGGGCCTGACGCCAAGGTCCGTCACATACGTCAAGTGCTCTCATGCGCTGCCAATTAAAGTTCCGCGGACCTTCACCTAGCCTCCATACCTTCTTCAACATCTTAAAACAGTGAATAGTCGCGGCGTTATGTCTCCGAATACTTTGTACGACAGACCGAGAGCCGTGGAAATATCGCGTCTTCCCAGCCTGTTGTGCGCTAGGTAGCTAAAACTAGCAGGGGCGGCGCGCGCCCATCACAAACTCAGCTGTGGCGCCTCGGAAGCATGTAATATGCATAGGCAAGATTACAACGGCTGTATTACGCGATGAGCAGAGTCGTGCATAGCTTCCGCGTGTTGAGGGAAATACAAGATGATCGACACATAACAGCGCATGGGCAGGCTGTCTAGAGGTGGTTTCGCGACTGGCACGAGACGATTCGATCGCAATACAAAAAATGGCACAACCATAAACTGAGGCGTTCAAGACCAGAGTGAGAACTTGCCGGCTGTTGTGGTTGAAATTGGCTTTTACGCATACTCTACCATCCAAAGACGGGGTTTAGGCGTCCCAAACTTCGCATGTCACCCTCGCGTGGCTAAACCTCCATCCTCAATTGTTCTCGCCCCCAGACGCCACCAATATCCAGTATCTAGAATCTGACAGATGCGCCTGCAAGATGACTTCTGTGCGGAACTAGGTACTGGTCGCCTAGAGAATGAGACTGAAACCATTCAACCCAGACTTGAACCGAGGCTTTTTGCCTGAGTTGGAAGATACTCTGCACAGCATGCTCATTTGTCTACGAGAAAGATAGTGTTAAAATCAAGGAGTGTGGTACTGTACCTAGCAGCAGCAACTGTCTGACTTCATCGTTCGTCCTCGAGATCTCCTACAATTGTTATTGTCCACGACCGAGACAAACGTTACATTCATTGCAGTCTGTCTATGCCTGCAGGAATTTGTAGCGGCTAGCTCGTTTGAAACTGTCAGCTCTCTGACATCAGGCTACTGGTACGGATCAGGACACCTGACTACAGGGCTATTATACCGTCAAGTCTCGCAATATATCTGGCACGCGGGGCGCAGTACGACAGACTCATATGCAGTGAGAGATCGCAATGCGACCAAGAATATCACGCACATGGACAAAGAGTCCAGGAGGGAACATCTTGAAGGTGTCGTCGCATAGAGGGCGCATATGAGAAGGGTGGAGTGTGCATCTGCGAATGAGGATGATGATGATGATGATGATATTGGTTTAACTCTGCGAATGAGGACAGCATCTTGCCCCCATATAAATGCATTGTGAAGATCACGCACGTCAATGTATTCTGATTCAGATCTTACATGGTTGAATTTCATCTTCAGCTCTCAGTCTGTCACTAGAGACGAAGCACCGAGCGTACAGTACAAGAGTACAACAAGTGTCCAAATCCAAAACCTCAACCGCTCTTTCTGACAACAGCAGCCCGGATCAGGATCAAACCGCAGTGTGAATCGAATGCGCACTCTATTCCATGAAAGATGTAGCTTCTTGGAGTCAGACCCAGGCTGGATATGAGCTGTGGATGATGTATATTCTCGATGACTTTGACATTTTCCGGATCAAAGACGGTATCACGAGCTTGTCGCAGTGGTGTCTTAAACCGACAGCGAGCTAAAGCCTAAGTTGCCTGCTCTTGTCGACGAGGTCTTCGCACTGCCTGACCGGGTATCGTTCAAATCAAGAGATGGAGACTTGCTCAACATTCGTAACTATCCCGGACTACTAACGAAAAGTCACAACAAGGCGTGAAGATGCACCATTTGATCATTGAGAAGAACAACAGTATATGTTGCCTCTTTCCAACCATTGTGCCAGCTGAAGTGTGAGCAACACCACGAGATGTCCGGTGTGCCCCTCTATCAACACAGTCCAGGTTGCCCCTCCATGACCACCCCGCTGTGCCCCTCGCGCCCTTTGCCCCTCATTGTTTTGCCCCTCTGATAGTGCCACAATCTACGCTTTGTTGGAATTGCCGTTTCTGGTAGCATCAATCCGCACTGAAGTGTCTTGGGTATGTTGCAAACTCTTAAAGGACAACACATGGGCATCACGCGACAGCAATGTACGTAAACGCCATGCGAAACGGCAAATATAAATTTTGTATGCGAGCAAGAGGCTGATTTGTGTAAGTAGTTCTGGGATGCGCTGCAAATTGAAATGCGAAGAGAAGACACCTGGGCATGTTCGATGTGGATGTGCTGTTAAGCGACCTTGAATGTAAGGAATGCGATGCAGCAGACATGCAAAGAATAAAATCTCCCTAGCTAAACATTATCACCCTATGCAGTGTGTTAATAAAGAAGAATGCGTTCTTAACTTAGAGTAGGGCCTGATCTTAGTACGGGCTGGTTATTGTTGCTGTACTTTAATGTGAAGAAGTATAAAAAAAGTGTCGCCTCTGCACATACACACAACCTTTCTCTAAGACTTAAGCTCGGCAAAAAGAATAGAATGCTCCCTGCCAGATTCGCTGAAAATTTGAAAGTTAGTACTCTGATTCGAACCCCGGACATCGCAGTGAATACTTACAACTGGCGGCCTTCGGATATCTATTGTTAGGAATAGTCATACTCTATGATATGAGACCGACGTGATAACCGACTACACTCGTGGGGTATTAGTGTTTGTTGCTAAGAACGGTGCTGAGTTGCGACTTACCCAAGGAAGCTTATTAAGCTGATAACTCATTTGATGGCGATTTTGAAAATTGAACGGACTATATAGACATTAGCTATCGAGCAGGCAGTGTTCAAAGGTGGGTAAAGGTCGATGATTCCGTTGGTGGGGCTGAATAGAACATTAGTTGGCATCAGAGGTCTGCAGACTAGTGTGAGTGGGTAGAATCCAATGCGGGGTTGGCGAACCATGGTAAGCCATAATCATCTATACCTTGAAGAACATTAGAATTATGCCGTAATCGCGTCAAGTCTACATATCTGTACAGAACACTCTATCTTCCGTATGATGAGTAGCACAGCACACCGTAACCGTGACGCCTCGTCGTGACGTAGGAACCGAGCAATGCCAAAACGCCGGTAGCAAGTCGACCGCCCACACCATATTACTTCATTCGATCAAAGACTATGGCCCAAGTCGTTGCCCTCCATCCGGAGTTCTATTACTCAGCGGCACACTCGTTGTTGGCAGTACACCGTATCGGCCGTACGTCTTTTGGTCGACACTGACGTAGTGCGGTAACCTTCCAAGCAAGTTCAGCTTGGTCTCAACCCATCTCAGTATCTTCTCGTGCGGTACGAGGAACTTGATGTATCCGGAAGCCCAGAGGTAGCCGAGACCTGCGCCGCAAAGATGGCCGACTAGACTGACGTAGGGGACGAGGATGCTGGTCAGGACAATGAGGATCAGGGGCGTCGTCCAGGTGGGGATTTTGTATGGTCCGACGCTGCGAAGAGTCAGTTTTTGGATTGAGAAGAGGGGTCGCATGATGGTACCTGAAGTACGGGTTCGCCTTGTGTGTCTTCATTACTTCTGCAGACAGAAGGAGGAACACCCATACACTGTCGCTATTAGCACGTCCCCATACGTCCCTATAAACCCATCTGACATACCTCGCGCCCATGACTGAGGTGTTACTCCTCAGTACATACTTTTCCAACAATGTGTACACGCCCCCGGGTATCGTTCCAAAAGCTGCCGTCTGGTCAGCTTGATATCCATACATGTCACCCAGTTGATATCTTACGCCCAGTGAAGAGCGCCAATGTAACGAGTGTTCCATATTCGGACTCGAAACGCTCAATAAGTGGCGTTACGGCGACGAGGTTGAAGATCATGTGGATAAAGTTCCAATGTAGGACGGGAAACAGATTGAGTCGGTGCACTACGAGTGTATTGTATTAGCATTATGTTCATATTGGATCAGACGAAAGTCAAGTGCAACATGTCTCCTGCTACGTTCTCCTCCGTCTTCAATGCCAGCTCCGTGGGTTCCGCGCCCCATGATGCGCCCACGCCGCGATGCAAGAGCAGAACACAAGCACTGTGGCCGACCACGCTCCCCTGGTAGTAACAAAACAAACATACTCTGCGTCAGATCCATCTTGGCCGGCTCCAGGGCGCCAAAGTCCCTAATCCATGGGAAGGGAATCGTTGCAACCCATAACCCTACAATGGCGGCGACCAGCACTTTGGTGCAGAAGGGCAGGCGCAGGATATACGACCGTATACGGGCAGGGCTGATCTGGGGAATCGAGGTCATAGGCATGGTCGGAGCGAGCACGCCGGGCGTTGGTAGAGTTGTTATGCAGGCGCGTGTGTTGCTAAGAGAACAGACACGAAGATTACTATGGGACTAGGGTCCAGAGCCGCGCTAGTGACGATCCTCCCGCTGGAGTCGACTTAGCACCTTCCCAGACGGATATGTGGGATGCTGGGCAGAGGGCCAGGACACGACCCGGTTTTCGCTTTCTGTCCTCTTACATGACGTGCCATT